TTGTTGGGGTCAATAATAAACAGCATCATTACCACCATCAGGAAAAAAACAACAACATCATATTTTTTGTTATTTCAAACCAAATTGCATGTTTTAAACATCCAACAACGATCTGTCCAGTCTTCCTTTTTTTCTTTAGTCCTCTGACCACCATCCGTCCGTCCGTCCGTCCGTCCATCTATCCTTCCATTCACCATTCTATCATTTATCCATGTTTGGCATTTGAGTTAATGGAATGAACGAGGAACAATTTCATAGTTGATTTTTTTGTCTGCTGTGTTGGTTCAATATTTATTCTTTATTTCTTCTCTCCATTTTATTTTTTTTTGTGTTTTGACCAACTTCATCTCATCTTGGCCATCATCATCTGTGCCTCTTTTTTTGCTTTTTTTTTTTTGAGGGTCTAAAAGAACATGAAGAAAACATGAAATTCCTTAGTAATTTGTATGGAAAGGCGTGAAGAACACCAACGAAGGCAACACCTTAATTAATGTTATAAAAAAAATGGAATGGAAAGGCACCAACAAAAAACGTTATGCTGCGGTGTAGGTCCACCACATAACACCAAATGAACGTACGTACAGATGAACCAAGGAACAATGAATGAAGTTGCTGCACCAGCCCCTTATAAAACAAAAAAGGTACTACAATAACAACAGCAACAATATGGCGAGAATTGGAATTATTTTATTATTTTTTTTATTATTATTATTCTATTTTTATTATTATTAGCTGCTTGTGTCTGCCGTATATACTAACATCTGAAAACGGATATTTTTTTAAAAACAATGTCTTATTCAATTCTGAATCGCCATCGTCATCTTCAAATTAGTCTATTTAGAATATCTGCAAACACTTAGATTGCGTTATAATTTCACATTCACACTTCAATAGGAGAATTATTTCTTTTTGTGTGGCATCATTTTGCCATTATAGAAAATTCCTTGAGGAGAAACTAAAAAGAAATATTTATTACTAATAAAGAAAAAATGCTTTGTTTATTGGACTTATAGATTTTGGGACACAAACCATTCTGAGCTATTAGCTTGCATTTTTCAAAAATGTTTTGAAAGTTAATCTGAGCTATGATCTCGGATGTGGGAGTTATACATAAACATTTAAATGTGTATATGTTGTTACCCCATTAGAGGGCGTATCGCTTTGAAATTTTACATGAAGTTTCGGTTATATTCAAGGAAGACGTCTATAATTTTTTCGTGATGTTCAGAGGCCACTATTACAAGCCAAATAATTAGAATGACTGTTTTGATTTAAATATCAAAATGTAAATGGGGTCAAAATGTATTATGGGTTTAGTGGGTTGTTTATACAAATGCTGATCAATATATTTGTTTAAAAATATTTTCACTTATTTCTGATTAATAACATAAAAAGCCGTCTGAAGGGTCAGTGCACACTTGTAAAATATTTTCCGTGATCAAGGGTACATTGCTTAAGAATATTTTTACAGGCTTATTGAAGATCCTTTTATCAGTGTACATATTCCCTCAAGGACGTTGGGTCTGTTAAGAAGTCTAAATTCAGACAATTTTACATCCTTTGAGTTGCCGCCAAAAGCAACAACTACAACAAATTTAGGTGCAAAGAAATAATGTTTAAAATTAATTTTTAAAGAAGCTGTCAGGCGACAGATATGTTTATTATTTTGGGGTTTAGTGGGTTATTTATACAAATGTCGATCAAGAAGTTCGTTTTAGTTCACTTGTCTTTGCGGACAAGCCGTCTGGAGGGTCATGTCGGAATATATCGGGTTCATTTTCTCCAGCTGGTTTCACCATGGGTACTTACCGCGTATTGTATTACTTAAGTCGCCTGATCGGTTGAGAAGTGATCCTCGTTCGTATTGGGCATAAGTCTTCTGTAGGTTCTTGGAAAAGTGCTGGAGAGGATTATGTAGTGGCACGGTCTGTAGGGATGTTCAGAGAAGGAAGACGTGTTGCATTTGACTTCCTTTTATGGGATAGGTTGGCTCATAAGGTCGTCAGAGGTCGTTCTTTGGGCAAGTGATTTCCGAGATAGGAAGGCTTGTGTTGTGGGAGCACGTGCTTCGGTCTTTATGCATGTGCAGCGCAAAGAAGGTGCAAATTCTGCTGAAAGGCAGGTTGGCACACAGCCGTACTCACTTCATTCGAGAAGGTGACAATGGTTGTTGGGACCATAAATTTGCGGATCGATTGGGGCTTGACCAGGCGTTCTGTGTGTGTATATGGTACAGAACTGCCTTATCTGACTTAGGACAGAAGAAGCTACTTTTGTGTCAGCGGGTCGTCGATAGCATGATTGCCAGAGTGTCGCTCTGTTTCCACAGAGGCGTTGCAAGAGCTGCGCAGTTGGATGAGGATGATTGGCACAGGCCTTCTGATCTGCTAGATGGGGATAGTAGGTGGTACAGCACTATCCTTCGGGAGTGTGTTCTACTTGGTACTTCGCTTCCGCTTAAGTACTGATTCTTACTGACGGAGCATGGTTATCTCAATGCGCTTCCGCATAAAAGAGGCCAGTCCCAAACAGATTTATATGGGTGCGGGATGACTGAGGTCTGGAAGCATATACTGACGGTAAGCTGTTACTATGAATTAGAGATTTAGTAAATATGGGTACAGTAGATATCGGATATAAGCACATCTCATATAAGAAAAAATCGCATATAAGAAAGATTATCAAAAATTAGAGATACTTTCTTATATCCTATAATTCCATATAAAAAGAAATCTCCGGTTTGTTTTGAGTTTCTTATATCCGATATCTACTGTATATCGAATGGAGGGGCCGGATTTCAGTAGGTTTCTTGAAGACGAGCGGACCCTTAGCTGTTTAAGTAGTTTTCCTCGTGAAGCATTTAGAAGAAAGACAGTATTTAGAGCAGCTCGGTCGGCTGCTTGTGGGTGGGCTCGGTCGGCTGCGGTGGGTGGCGGTGGGTATTGGTGCCTTGGTTGACGAGGAGCTGGCTGTCTGCCTCATGTGGATGTCATAAAGGCTGTCCGTGAGGGCGGTTTCGTGGCCCGCGGTCTTTTGACCGCATGGTACAGTCCGTGAGGACAGCATGTTAATTGTTTGTGTTCTGTGTTCTTGTACATCGTCGTTGCTACCAATGACAGTGTTCTGCTTGCCACTAGCGGTGTTGCTGCTGCGGAAACGTGGTAAGTGTATTGAGTCGTCCGTTTTTGTATTGGGATACCAGCCCGGACTTGTGTCAAACTGGAAGAAACTTATGTCTCTAGCCTGATTGGAGGTTATCTGTCGTTTCAGCCTGACAGTTGGTGTGGCCCCCTGGTGAGCTTCGCGGGGGTTGTGGTTTCGCCCCTCACCAAGAGGTAGAGTGTGCCTTCTGCATGCTCACAACTGGTACAGCACTTAGACGCTGGTGCACTGTTGAGCGTAATTCTAAGAGTAGATTTTAAAGCTCTAATTATTTTTTACGGGACTATAAGACCCCTAGGTATAGATTTGTATGATTTAATTTTTTCCGAACTTTAAGATTCTTTATAAATTTTTTTAAGAATCTATGATTATGATGGTTGTAAGCATTGATATTTTAGGAAATATTTCTATTAATTACGGCTTTTGTTACCAGGAAAAACAGAGCTCGTAAATGTATTTTTTATAATATTCTGATTAGCTGACAACATAAAAACTAATATGAGCCTTGCTTGTCAGAAAGTTCGGTCAAGTAATAACTTCAAAAATCACAAAATTATTATTTACGATTCCTTCTTTAATATTTTTAGGCTTCTATATCCCCCTCTAGAAATATTCGTCATATAATTAATTCATGTTGAACAAAGTAATACCCTACGTTCATTTAGCTACGCCCGTCGGTCTCTTGATTTTAAATTGGGATATATCGATCCCATATAAGCTAAACCTCCCATATTTTGTAATCTCGGGCTGTAATCTGACATTTCTAGTTTTTAACAAACTCTCCAATTAAGACCTCGTCCCATTTTTGGCTTTCTCAGAATATAAATAACCAAATAACAGTTACAATGTATGTCCATGTTTCGTCTTAGCCCCCAAATAAGCGTCCTGAGCGATTTTAGGTAGTTTTGTGGAGAGTATATAAACGTTCGGGCTTGCCGAAAATATCCCTGTATTGGCATTTTTATAATCATTAATTTTTCATTTTCGTTCCAGGTACACCAATCCTTGGTAAATATGGAACTACTGCCACAATCAATGTAAGTACTTACCTCCACACATTATTTCAAATGAGTGTAACATATACTTCTATTTTTTAAAGTGGTTATTTTAGTTATCTTTTTTTTGTTTTGTTAAATATTTATAAAATTATTTACATTTCAAGTGATGATGACTAAAATACAGCTAAACACATATAGAGAAATTATTCGTAAATTATATTATGTTTAAGTCTAAAAATACATTAAGTGTTATGAATTAAGTCAAAAACTTAAAAACTAGCATTGAAATTCGTCTATAGTTATTATCACGTTAATACATTCACAAATTGTTGTTGATACAATTATTTTATCTAATGTTAGGCCCCTACTTAAACTAGATTTTTATGAATCCATCCTAATGGGAATTTTTCAAAACGAATCAATTCTTGCGGCCAAAATTAAGTGTATATTTAAAAATATGTAAATTTAAATTCGAATTTTACAATGTAAAGATTTTTACCGCTAACGGAAAAAAGGAAAAAAGTTACAATGGTTCACTTTTGAGGTTATACGAATTTATATATTTTGAATTTCCCCCTTAACACTTACTTAAAAACTAAATACTAGATCTGCAATTTGTCCTTACCGAAAAAAAATGTTAAAATCTATTTTTAATTAATAATAAATTAAATTCACAATTATCACACGCAATGGAAAGCTTTGCGTTTTATCATCTCGAATAAAAAAAGAATACTACTAACATATAGAGGTGTACTTATGTGGGAGGAGGGTGGATTTTCATGTTGAGTACTGTGTTTTAAGATATTAAGTCATGGATGGAAAAGTTTTCGAAGCTAAACCCTACAGACACGTATTAATTTCCCGTTTTTCAAGACATTTTTCACACGTCACCTCGCAGCACCATTTGAAGACACACTTACAATTAACCCATTCGGAGACAATGTGATGTCGATGTCCACGATTACAGCATAACAGATCACAGCTATCAGGTCCCAGTGATGTGGCATTACATTCACGATTTTGTGTACCCAATGAACCGGTTCGAATATTCGGTGCACAAAAGTCGGCCGAGTCATCGGAATAGACCAAATCATATTTCGAGGGTGGTTTGACGTATTCACTTTCTGGCATAAAACTGTTGCCATCATTTCGCAGCACCACCTTATAGGCTGAATCGAATTTTTCCCGCAGCCGATTGCCTACCTCACGAAATGAGGGCATTTTCAGCCAACAGGTTTTTACGGTACATGATCCGGACAGGCCGTGACATTTGCACTCTAGTCGAACTGAATCGCGTATGGCCTGGAATATAGAATAAATATTAGTTAAATAATGTTGTACAAAATATGTATTTGTTAATTTTATAGAACAAATCAGGAAGCATCAGTCCTTAGCCTTTAATATTTATATATACTGACAAAAATGATGAAAAAAATGCCGTAATGTTCAACCGAGCCACGAAGTAGAATTTGAGGGGTATATTAAAACCTCTTTAAATCTATCGGGTCATGGATGACATGGATTTTAAATTATTTATCAGGAGATATTTGAACCTCTAATAAAAGAAAGATATCAGGCTAGATGGATATGGGGGACACTGTAAAAGCATGGAACTCTATTGAATATTTTTTACGAAGTCGTATTTTATTCATTGGGACCCGGAATCCTAATTTGGAACAACAAATGCGGCTAAATATTTTGGCTCCACCGTCAGAAAATTCAGCCTCCATGAAGACACATCCGACAACGGCATGAGGTTGATTGACTTCGCGGCAGCACCAGATTCAAGCATCTCGATATACACAAGGCCACCTGGATTTCTCCTGATCAAGCAACGAGAAATCAAATTGAACATGTTGTGATAGACGGAAGGCATTCATTCAGTGTATTAGACTTTCGGTCGATTGGAGAAGCGAATATCGATTCGGACCCGTCCTCATGTAGATTAAATGTAACACGGAATCTTGACGTCGAAAAGCTGCAAACACAACAGATAGCAGACGCCTACGCCGCTCAACGTATCCACTCCTTGTCAAGATATGAATATAGAAGCACAAAAGCAGAAAGAACAAGAAAAGCGTGAGCTAATCGAGATGCACAAGAGTCAGAACGAAGTCCGGAAATTTTACCAGCTAGTAAAACACCGAACCGAAGGTGGTGTAGACATCCTGTAGATATGAAGGAGGAAACCTGGTGGCAGATACAGACAGAGTGTTGAGGATCTGGAAAGAGCATTCAGCAAAGCTTCTGGTATCAAATAGTGGCGGTGAAGAAGATATCCCAGAACCAATAAGAGATGACGTATATAGAGTATACCACCTAACCAAGATGAGATCAGAAAAGCAATCAAACGGCGGAAGAGTAATAAAGCAGCAGGAGCCGATGGATTACCAGCCGAAATATTCAATAATGGTGGTCAGATGCTGGTCAGGAGCATGCATCAGCAGTTTAGTACACGTTGGCTAGAGGAATGCGTGTCCAATGATTGGAACATCAGCATCCTGTATCCCCTGAACAAAAAACTGTAGAGGAATTAGTCTCCTTTCAATCGCATATAAAGTGCTATCCGGCGTGCTGTGTGAACGATTGATGCCAATGGTCAATGATATTATTGGACCAAACCAATGCGGCTTCAGGCCTGGCAAATCCACCATTGACCAGATTTTCAATCTGCGCCAGATCTAAAACCACCAAACAAACAGCATATGTTACTAGCCGACCAAATCGACATAAGCGGTAACATCCACCTTTGAACTCTCAATTCGTTCGAGTCTGGCAAAGTGGGTCAATAAATGGCGTGTAGACCAAGCTGATGGTATCAACGCGCAAGACGTCCAGTAGTCTCGTACCAACTGTGAAACTTGAAAACTACAGCTTCGAGGTAGTGAACGATTTTATATATCTCCGGAAGGTCTACCGAGCCAGATATACAAAACTGGAAAGCTTTGAAATCATGCGCACAGGTCCGACGCGCTTGGCTTATGAAAGAACCGTGCTGTCACAAGCCAGCTAAGTAAGTAAATGCGGCTAATATATTTTAAATCTCGAACATTTAGTTTTGAGGCTCTCTCATGTATTCATATCGAAAATTTACAGCAAAGTTATATTTCTCACCCCAAGAACCCTGGGAAGGATTTATTACAGACAAGGTAATAATGCTCCTAAATACTTCAAGATACCGAAAATGCGACGGATATTCAGATAATAAAACCGGTTCAATTATTTTCATTATCTGAATATCCGGTTCAAAAATTTAGAAAACCGGTTCTTGACATGCCACATCCGGTTCAACAATCAGAAAACCGGTTCTTCACATGAAGTTAGTACAAATCGAGATATGAAGCTATATCTTCAAGTATAATATGACCGCCAGCAAAGAAATGATCATGCCGTATCTCCCAACTTTGACCTATGGCGAATTCTTCAAGCCGAATAGGTCTTTGGAAACCCCCAAAATCTTGTTGCATTGTGAAAAAAAGTATTGTGTTTTTATTTAAAAACTTCTACTCACCAATCGTCCTGCCATATTATTGTGCAGCTTGACCAGAGTACGAAAATCACTTCTCCGACGATATTTCGAATCCAAGAATACTCTCGAATGACGAAATCCGAAATTCACGTTATCACTGCAACCACCCCATTCCCATTCACCTTCGGGAAATTTTAAATTTTTCAACAGCCTCCGTCGTCGATTACCATTCCCCTTTCGCAGAGGATTTCGTGTGGAATTTCTTTCAAAAACGGCCTGTTGTTTTTCCAATGCGGCTACAGCTGTCGCAGCATTAACCATCTGAGGTTGACCACCATTTCGACGTGAATGACTCTTATCGCAGGAACATTCCACCAGATTGCCCAAGGTACAGGCTTTCGTTACAGCATAGGTGACACCGGCCGCTGTAATGGCATTAACAAAGCCCGTTTCGCGGGTATCTGTAATGAGAAAGAAGAAGGAACGAATATAGAATGAGTTTCGAGTTTTTAGAAATATATATCGCTGTCTTAACGTAAAAAGACAATAAGTACACTTTTTCTATTAATTGAGATTTTGATACAGACATGTTCAATAAGTAAAAATATATCGATAAAGTTATCTCAGATCTTGTTTTGTGGTGATGAATATCGGCGCTAAGTCTATCTTTTTAGTATGTGGACTTATTGCCTTTACATGCTAAACCAGAGATATCCTTCTCCATGAAATTTTAGGAATACAATTTGCTATACCCCATCAGGAAGAATAAATCAGTATTGTGAATGCACCTCAACATCGATGCACCATAATTATGGTCTAACTGTCCACTCGTATCCCCTCTTTAGGGAATAGAACGAGATTCCTATCATGCTAACATGATATACCTAGACACATAGTTCGCCAGGCGTAAAAAAGAAGAGAATAAGCGCCTCGACGATCTTCAGTGTTACCATATTACGATTTATTTTTCCTACGACCTTCTCAAGGTAACCGATCAATCAATCATGGTTATTTGTTATTATGATTCCTTTGGCAATATTAATTCAAGACAATGGGCCACCTGTCAGTGTCATTTAACATTGTGCCTTGTTATGTGTCTTGTTTTATTTCTTCAGCTTTGTGTTGTCTTCGATAAGTGTGGGGGCTTATTTGTGTTAATAAACACTATTAAGTGACAGTTGTTTGACATTTGTCACGTTCTCACTCTCATTTGCATATCTACTGTGAATGTTGTTTCAGGCAAGAAAAAACAATTCATTTAAAATGGCAATAGTTTCTAACATAATAACAACAACAGCAGCAATAACAATAATGCCAGCCAACACTAATGGCCATGTTAACAACAATGTTTGATTTTGTTCACAAAACCCCCTCCTCCTCCTCCTTTCCACACATTCGGAAAGTGGAGATTGCTGGAAGGGAAAAAATCTACAGTATGAATGCTAAACAAAAAGATAATCGTGAGAATTTGTAATTATATATGTTACCAATACTAGTTAAACAATAACAACGATAACTGCACCAGCAACAACAACAATAACCAAGTCAAGACAAGTGAGACAAGTCATCGATCTTGATAACTGTCATTCATTCACTTTTACCAGTAGATGACACATTGACTTAAATACTGACACTTTTGACAATTCTCTATTGTTTTGTTCGTTTGTTTGTGTACTTTTGTTGTTGTTGTTTCTAGTTAATATCCCCACACAAATAATGGAGTAAATTTAATACAGGTACTTTGTGGTAACCCAACAAACAATGGGCCCATCAAGACCTATTTGTGGCAGATGAAGAACCTCCTCGGTCTACAGAAGACCAATAGGAAGTCATATTTCTGTAGATAATCATAGAAAAATATTTATACAAAAATTCAAGGCCTTAAAAATGTTAAAAACAATGAGAGGAGCAGAATAGTCGGACGGGGTCGACCATATAAAACCCCACACAACTACGACGAAAATCTAACATCCTGCGGTTCAAAAAAATCAGGCTTATGGCTCTATTGGTTCTTGGAAATCATATTTATGGCTCTATTAGTCCTTCGAAAAACTTTCTGTGGTTCTATTCTAAGCCTGGGCAATATTTCGCGATATTTGTATCCTCTTGGCATATTTTCCAAATCTTGTTTTCCCATGGTGAATATTTACGCCTCACTTTAGGTTCTCACAGCCGTTCTGAGTATTTGGTCGAATCGCCTTCACTATGTAAAATATGTGATAATATAATAATGGCCTCTAGAGCGACTAGAAAATTTGACAAAAATAAAGTTTTCGGTAAATTGCACGCCCTAATTACCATCTCAACATCGCCGAAAATTATAGGTGTCGTCCTTTACCATAACCGGAACTTGTGCCCTCTATTGAGGTAGTAATAATACTAAACAATATCATGAATATTTACTTATAACTCCCACATCCGAGTACGTGCAACAAAATAATTGGTATCAATTTAAAGGTAAACCACTACTTTTGGATATACCATCAATTTCTCGGATCTATGTCTTTCAGGAGTAAATATATGTATTTGTAATTTTTTACATAACAGTCTGGGTCCATTAGATCAGCTAAATATTGGCCGATCTTCATCTTTTGGCCATATTCCCTTCCTGGTGTGAAATTTCGTGGTGTTCGGCTAATAATTGTGACCTTTAGAGCGACCTGAAAAACAGACAAAACCAGTGAGCGGAGCAGTATAGTCGGACGGGGCCGACCATACGATACCCTACACAACTACCACGGAACTCAAATTTTCTGCGGATGTTTATTCCGAGCCTAGGCAATATTTCGTGATATTTGCGCCTTCTTGCCAGATTAGAGGTAAACAGCTCCTCTTCCTCACACTGATATATTTTCCGAATATATACATAGTATGTTTCAGTATAAAAGTCTATTGTCCTAAATAGATTCCCTCCATACCGTGGGTTGTGTTGTCATGTTCGGCTTTCATTTGTGGTCTATAGATCGACTCGAAAATAACACAAAAAAAAGTTTTCGGCCCACTTCATTCCAAAATTATTATCTGATCATCACCGAAAATTATAAGTGTTGTCCTTGACCATAACTGGAACCTCATGGAACATTTCAAAGCGATCATAACTATGGTTGTCTCTAGACATAATTTAATAAATAATGCTACACAAAGACATAATACCTGTGACAAATATTTAGGTGTAACTCCCACATCCATTGTTGACAACAATATAATTGGTATCAATTTAAAGGTCAACCACTCATCTTGGATATAATATATAAAATTATATTTAAAAATCCAAGCTTATGGCTCTGTTAAAACCTTGGAAAATTATATTTGAAAAATCCAGGCTTATGACTCTGTTAGTCCTTGGAAAAATTATATTTAAAAAATTCACGTTTGTGGATCTGCTAGGCTTTAGAAAGCTATTTGGTCCTTCAAAAACTACATACTAAAAAATTCACTGCTATGGATTATTGATCCTTAACAAATATTTGTAACAAATTCCTGCTTTTGTATGTTCTGATCTTCAATTTTTTTTAATGATTCTTAAAGTCCATCCTGGAAGTCCTTTCATCTTTAGAGAACTTTTGCAAGGTCATATGTCCATAAAATCCCTTTAAACCATTTTTTCTTCAAAAGATCCCTTGAAGATCTCCTCTCCCTTAATGACTTTTAAAATGCCTCCAATATTGTTTGCTGATGTTCAATTTTTTTAATGACTCCTCTTAAAGTCCATCCTGGAAGTCCTTTCATCTTTAAAGAACTTTTGCAGGGTCATATGTCCATAAAATCCCTTGAAGATTTCCTTTCCCTTAATGACTTTTAAAATGCCTGCAATATTGTTTGCTGGACATCACTAAGTAAATACAAACAACTACACTAAACATTTGCAGCATAATTGACTTATTGTTTCGGATTCCCTGTTTAAAGATATTTTTAACGGTTGGAGTAATACCTGCACGTTGAAACGGCTCTTAAAGTCAGCAATGGCGTCACTGTCGTTGTTGTTGCTATTGTTCCAGTAAATACAAATACAACATCTAAACGACATCTATTCAATGGGTAATTAGCAGTATTTAACAACTAAATAGTAGTTGTCGTCGAAGTGGTCGTTATTACGTGGACATGGAACACATAAATGCGTAGAGGAGTAGCGAGGAACGGGATGGGTAATAGCCAATATTTGACTATTTTACTATCTCTGTTTAAAAATGTGTGTGTGTGTGAGTGTTTACGTGTGTCAGTATTTGCAAACACCTGTGACATGTTTAGCTTAACTCTATTTGTTGTTGTTATTTTTACAATTTGACACTTAACCTGTCAGCTCTTCAAAATGCGACAATTTTTTTCACACACACTTCGAGAGTTTTTGCTGATGTTGTTGCTGTTTGCTAATGGCGTTAAGTTGTTATCGGTAGTTTGTTAGGTTTTTTGTAGTTGACAATGGCAAATGTTTACTCGTGTGAATAAGTAATGAATTTTTTTGGGAGCGGGGGAAACTCCATTTGCAGAATGAGTCGGTCTTAGTAATTTTCAGGGGGATTCCTTAAATTTTGGTGATTAATACCATTATGAAACATTTTTGGAAATAAAAGAATGTGTGAAAGGGGGTTTTTTGGTTTTAGGTGTGTGATAGCTCTTATCAAAAAGTAAAAAAAATACTCGTCAATATAACTTTTTATAAATAATCCCTGTCAAAATATTTAAATAAAAAATCCATGCATATGATTCTTATAGACCTTGTGCAATTTTTAAAATATTTTTCTATGGACAAATATTTTAAAAATCCATGATAATGACTATGGTATTAAAAAATTAAATTTGAGTACCATTTAGTACCAAATTTCATGATTCGAGCTCTAAAGGTTCATCCAAATCCAAATTTGTCCAAATTTAGTTCCATTTATCACACATGATTTTCACAAGTACCATCCTTTACCAGCCAACAAAACCCGATCCTACATCCCCACAATGATTCCAAATTCAAATTTCAGGAATCTAACTCTATTGGTTAACTCACAATTTAAATTGTTCCAAATTTAGTACGCAGTAGTACGAATTTCCAAAACTTGCTACTTAAACCAAACCCACACCCCACCAATGCTCCTAAATCTTAGTTTCAGGACTCCAACTCTCCACATCTTAAATTGTACCAAATTTGGTACACAGTAGTACAAATTTCAAAAACTTCCAACTTAACCAACAAAACCAATACCCCCAACAGTGATCCCCACAATGATCAAATTCAAATTTCAGGAATTTATTGGTTAAACTCAAATTTATCGTAGTACGAATTTCCAAAACTTTCACACACAATTCAAATTGTACCAAATTTATTACGCAGTCGTAGCAATTTCCAAAACTTCCTACATACCCCAATTCTTATTTCAACTCTATCGCTTCATCCGCAACTTAATTGTACCAAATTTGGTACACATTAGTACAAACTTCTAAAACTTCCTACATGACTCAATCTTAAACCTCA